TGCGAGCTCCTTTTTAGGCTGATGAGATAAGGACAAATTTAGTCTCTCCTCCGTTAAAAAGTATGTCATTATTTGCCGATAAGGTTTTGGAAAAACCCCGAGTCCTTTTACCTTGGGTGATTTCCAAACTCCACCCTCCTACTGCCAGTGGCTTGTGAAGTGAATTTAAGTGGCATCCTTGGTGGGAATTTCTTTGGCCTCCGTCTACCCCCCAAAATGAGAGAGGCTGTAAATTAAAATGACTTCATGTTTGTTTTTAAGGTGCACTCTGGGGTAATTTGAGGGATGGACCGAAAAGTTTTTAACTGATGATTTAAAGGAATCGAAATAGCCCAGCTGCGAAGTACCATTCCCGAGACACACATGTGTATATTGCAGTGGACGGGGTAAACCTAACCCAATCCACCTTCTACGTGTCAGTGTGAGTACTTTGGCTCCCAATCCCCAACCCCGTGGATGCTGCAGCCACTAAATGGGGAGTTTCTGCCCCTGTACCCTAAGTGAATGCCGCCACAACTTTGATTAAATACAATGCACCTCAAGCATAGTTGCCGCTTCAGCCATCAGCATTGAAGCAAGTGTAGTTACTCAAGTAAAGGAGTGGTTGTCAATTCTTGTCAAACAGCTGTGACACAGCATAAATTTGTTAGCCCTCTTAATGTCTGTGACGTCTGCTTATTTAAACCTACCACAAACTGTCAGCAAAAGTACACCTAGCGTGCGTAAGGCCTACCCATTCATGTTACCGTTGGAAAACGAGAGGGTGGAGGAGGGTGGGAAGGCAGAAGGGAAGGTGGGGTGGCGGAGAGAAGGTGAAGTATTAATTACTCTGTTCTATGTGTGCTATATGACCAGAACCATCTGGTAATACACTCCTCCTTGTACTTTAGAGAGAAGGTTGTCACTCTGAGGTGAAGAAGCCAACATTAGTTTACGTAAGTTTTATTACACAGCAGCGCAGCGAGTTGTCCCGCTAAGATCGTGTGACAAGTAGCGTGTGTGACATGGGTTCCACGGGCGGGGTGGGTGGCACAAACAGACATCCACGCAACCGGTGGCCAATCATGGAGGCATGGAGATTCTCACTAACATTACCAAACGATCGTCCCCATCTGACAAAGGGAGGACAAGCTAGACACAGATTCCATTCATGGCGAAAAGCACGCCATCCAAGACACTTCCAAGTCGAGGTCGAAGATGTGGAAGCAATTTCTGCTTACCTCTAGGGACAGACGCTGCCACAACAGAAGGAGTCCACGGTCAGCTACGTATTGAAAAGTTCTAGTTGCTGGAAGTGCTTTACCACGAGACAGTAGGCAGCCACACGGCCCACATTCAGTCACCTGGAGTGGCTCGTTCTACTCACCCACGACCTGATATGATATTGGTGGTATATCACTCCAATGGATGCCTACCTCCCCAAAACGTTGTCCTCCTGATAGCGGTGAGCATTTGGTATGAGGGCAGGTAGGTGACTTATGATGGCCATACCTTTTGGCACAACCGATGCCCCTTGACTGGAAGGGTTTGACTGACGCTCTCTTGACTATCATGACTAAAAAGGCCATCAGCGCTACCAAAGCCACTGAGGCAGAGATCGCTGTTGCCAGCTAGCTTCACAGAGCTGATACAAAAAAGTGACCAAGTCATCCACTGCCACGGGCGTTTCATTTTCGCAGGCCCATTCACCGTTACGACGTAGCAACGCATTTCTAAACGAGGAACATCCTACCCATTCACTTCCATTCTGCCTTCACAAAAACCTTTTGGGGCAAATACCACAGAACCTCGTCGTCGTCATCTCCTTCCCACATCACTTACATCCTCCAACTGTCTTTTCCGTTTCACGCGGAATTCTGCGACAGTCCAGTGGCAAAAGAGGGGACGATAGCCACCTGGGGAAACATAGGCGCTGAAGTACAGAGACTCTTCCTCCTTCCCTCTTTCCTTCCATCCCTCTCCCTTCTCCTCCTTGGTTCACTAAGCCTCAATGTTTCAGTTGCATCCTGTTATGTCTATGCGGTCCAGGAAGTGAGAAAGAAGGCATTTGGGAGTGTTCCAAGTGTGGCATATAGGGGACATTTGCTCTGTTACTTCCACCACTTTTCCAGTTGATGTGGATGCCCACAAGTTGTTTTCTCGATCACCATAAGAAGTACTGCTGAAGTTCCCCTTGACACGTGACTGCTAGTCCTGCCTTTTTGATAATGTAAGGTCCTCCTGAACGTGATGCATCTACCATCGAGCTATCCACCTTTCCCCTCTCCACCTCGTACCTATTCCTACCTTCCTCCCCCATATTTAAAAGTACGGTACACGATAGCAAACAACGAACAAAACAGATAAGCTTCACTGGCATCTGATTCGAAATGCCCAACCTTTGATTATACGAGTGCTCCATGTAGGTGGAAATTGGCAGGGACCAGTGAAAGGAGTTTCGTACTGATGGGCCGCTTCATATCCCTCCCTACCAAAGCCTACAACTATAACAAGACACGTTCTATTCCGGATTTTTATACTATAATGTTCCATTCTTCCACCAAGACTGCTTTTAGAAAAATGGAAGATGACAAAGCTTTTGAGTCGCCTAGCGACATGTTATTTGAGAAGCCACCTACACCCTGTATGTAATTCGCGCTACCCAAAACCTAAGCGCATTCAAACAAAACCTACATAAATTCAAACGGTCTCCAACTATTCCTTTTCCTTTCATTCGTCACCTATTTTCAATGGTTACTTAGGCGGCTTTGGTTACCTGGTTATTTGCCCACGTCTCTCAGGCACACCTTCTGTACAACAGTCAAAGGGAAATTTCTTTTATAAACAACCGTGATTTATTTACTTCAGGGTTTACTGCCTTATTAGATATGCAGTTGTCAAACAGTTTATACACTTTCCCCAGTCCTGCGCTTCCATGAGTCATGTGGGATGGAGTCAGTCATGTCGCCGACACGAGCTTCTGCTTGAAAGCTCGTCTTTTTCCCTCTCCGTGATAACAAAAAGAATTGCCCTAATCACAGTTGCGCTTTAGGAGTTTCGCAGGACCTTCTCTTTACCCACAATTGTTAGCGTAGCACCTAGACAGGTGGTTGAGGAGGCAAGACGCATCCACCACTTTTGTCTACGGATTCTCCACCTCACTGTCGTCTTCTCTGTGGCAATATTTAGCCTATAACGTCATAACTTCATCATTTTGTACCTTTTCTTAGCTTTAATGTAATTTTGCGGCCTGAATTTTACATCTTTCGAGCGCTAGCTGCACCTCTTTTCTGATTGGCTGGGAAAGGTGTAACTGACACACTTCGAAGGTCGGATTATTTTGGGGAAAAAGTAAATTATTTTAAGGGCTATTTAACTTTCCCATAGGTTCTCTCCCTTCTTCTTGCAATATTGGCTCTGGCTTTGCTAATTGCTGCCTCGTGTTCCTCCTCCTGGATGCATCTCGCACCTATTCGTATGGGCGTTATTCATGAATGCTTTCCCATGGAGGATGGCGAGTTCAAGTGTTTGCAGACCTCCTGTTTCACAAGTACGTCATAATTCATTAATAAGGCCTCTATTTTCCCCAATTAAACACTTCACATTTCACTGGTGGGAATTTTTCACTTGTCTCTGTTTTATTGGTCGGTTGATAGGTGGTTATCTATGTAGCACATACAGCGAACAATTATCTGTAATGCCTTTTTGTAGCCAGTCCTCACCAACTGTTTCATTTCTTTCACCTAGAGGTGATATTTTGATAGGCTTTTCAAATTTTCGCCTTTTAAAAGGGTTAAAGAAGGTACAAGATGCAATGTCCAGATCTTATGACGCCGCCGAGACAGAGGGACCCACATAAATGGGGTTCTCCTCTCTTTTGAGAGTTTTCCCTCCTCGGGTTGGCAATATGAATGAGAAGCTAAAATCCACTTCTGTGGAGGTCCTGTACTGAATTACTGACTGCGGTGTACTTCTCTGACCCCAGTTAATGTCACAATGTAAACAAGAGTAGCTAAAAGGGTAAGACTTCAAAAAGGAGGCCTTTACAACTGACACTGTGAGAACAAAAAACGCATGGTGTGTGAGTACATGTCTGCTGATTGAAGTGCTAGACTTTTCATGTATTTATGGCCTCATGTCTGACCTTGACCTTACAGCACTCATACAGTGTGTACCTCCAAGTCGTTCAGGTTAATGCGGGTACTCAAGAATTCACCTTCCAAGCAAAATGTTCTAGAATGTTAAAAGGGGAATTCAGTTAGTTATCTTGCCAATTCCGAGGGGGACACAGTTTGCAGTAAATTTGTCATCCGCATTAAGAGGCATCACTCACCCAGTTGGTCGCTGCACCGCTCCACGGCAAGCGCGATTCACCTGCCGTCGTGGAGCTAGTCATCGGCACGCCGTCTCACTTTCAGAACTTTTCTCACTTCATTACTACCCAGCCTTCTCTTCAGACCTTCCGTCACTGATGTAACGATACACAGAGGAGGCAGTGAGGCGTCAATGATCAAAACCGTGTAAACGTGAAAAGACTAAAATTTAAGTGACTGGTAGTCCGTGACAGCTTTTTAAAACACTTGATGGAGCTACAGGACAAAAATCCCAGTAAAGCCAAGAGGCTGCATTACAAAACAACCTCTTGCCTCTTTTTCCAACAAACCACGTTATTAACTCGAGTAAGGAAGGGAGAGTGTATCCCCTTTCAAACAACGTCCCACCTCTTTTCCCATCAGGTGTTTCAACCGACGAGCTGTTGATTTTGCAGCAATCCAGTGCCTCTATTACCACAGTGGGTAGTCGCTTGTTTAGTGAAGAATGCGACGACTGATCAATTAGAGGAGATAGCTAAAAAGATGCCGCTTTTTCTTACCGCCGCCTCCTCCTCCTCCTTTATGAAATTAATCAAACTCTCTGCTGATGTAAAAACAGGCAAAGCTTGATGCTTCTTTGAGAGCTATCGCTTTTGCCCAATTTTTTGCACTTGATCATCATTATTTGTGAGATTTTGGCAATTGCTTTTTAGAAATTTCGGGTCTATTTTTTAAAAAATAAATCATTAGAATCGGATAAATTTGAAGATGTTTTGAAGGTAACTGTAGAGAAGGAAAGGATTTCACCGAGGGCTTTGCATTTTCCTAGTTATAAAAAAAATATGCGGAAGTTGCAGTATGTCGCTTATTTTAAATCAGAAAGACATAAAACTGTTTTTGGAACTTTCGGGTCGACTTGGTGAAGTGACTTGCGTCCTCTGCCGGACTATGGGTTTCTGTTCAGGACATTACCTTGTAGTCTCCACTGCCTTTCACGTACTTTGAACCTCGTGTTCTTCCAGCTTGTCTGCCCTACCAGTTGTGCTTAACTCTTTACAAAAACTGGCTTCGCCTTACATCTATAACTGACTTGAGAGAGCCAATATTTGGTTTACCCCCACATCAACTTGAAAGGAGAAAGACAATGTTGCATGCCACCATGTAAGTGGGTGCCATCACATGCATCCACACCACCGATGACAGACAGCATGCTTACAAGACAGCTAAGACAGTTAATTGGCTGCTGGTTCGCCACATCTTACATGTCTGCTATGAAAGTACACTCGGCAGTGGGAAAGGGCTATTCTCCAGTTGATCGACAGACAGACAGACGGAAATGCTGGTTAAATGAACAAATGAATGAACAAATACCTGATTGGTCGGTTGGCTCCAAACGATCCACTCACTACTCGCACTACCCTAGACTACCTCACACTGCCACTTCTAAGGCAAGTACCACTACCAATTTACTCCCAACGGACTACGCTTGTTGCATGTGTGTGTGTGTGTGTAGTGGACTTTAGACAGGACAGGATTACCTGTTGAAGGCTGAGACATCCCTCTCCGATGTATCTCAAAGGTGTGATAAAATGTGAGCTTGAGGAACAGGCGTAACTGGTGACGCCGTCAATAAGCTCAGTGAGAAGAAAGTGCCACTGGTGTTAGAAGACGCAAGACTGTACTCTTCATACCACATGCCACCGCCACACTCCTTAGGTTGAAAGAGTGGAATGTGCTGCCTTGCATTCATCCTCCGCATTTTTCTGCACCTTTCCTTACCAAAAAGTATTTATATGATCACATGGGAAATAGTGGCGAGGTGGAAACTAAGGTGGCTGGGTTTGATTGTTTTCTTTCAGCAATAAAGTGCCATTCTCGACAAGCTTCTGTTTCATTGGTTAGGATGAGGCTGGTAGATAACGCAAGCGATTACACCAGCAAACAAAAAACCTATTTACTAAGACTCCTTCTGAGGTTAAAAAGCTCTCGGAAAATTGTAAATACACCTGCCCCAGCCTAAAGTATCGATGCCTTTCAGTTCCCTTCATCATCTCCATGATCCTCGCAATATCCGGAATGGGATTTCTCTTTGTGGGAATCATTCTCTTTATCGCGGCCCTGTTAGTCTATGCCCTTATTCCAAAGAGGCGTCTGTACAATGTCACTGTTGGGATGTTTTTTGTCGCAGCCATCACCTACACAATTTGTCTGGTTATCCATCCAATCTTCTTCTTGATTCAATTTTCTGATGAACAGGTAAGTCAGCTCTTTTTATTCATAAATTTGAAGCGTTTACACGTAGCTGAGGCAGACCATAAACTGTGAGAAATTTTGACCTAACTTGGTTGCTGGAAGAGTCACATTGGTGAGGTGACCCCTCAACTCTCTAATCCGAGGCTGGGGTCACAAGTACGTGATGTGTGCTGTGACAGGCGCTGGATACTCAAGAATTCAACCTACTAGAATGAAGAAGAGGTAAAGGCAGTCTTCAATTGTTTGATACTTGATAAGTCACCGTTAGTGTGACTGCCTTCTCCGATACCTAGGTACACCATTACTACTAACTCTTAATAAGTAGTTTCCGGCAGTAAAATTGAGCAGAGTCGCTTTCGATGACTCCTCTCATAGATCAAATTTGTGAGGTCTCCTAGACAAATGGAAGAGTTGCCTTGATTTTAATGCATTCTAGACTTCCATCTGTTCAATGGCATTACCACTGTCAAGCTTCCTGGATAACGAAAGTAGGCGGATTTTGAGAGAGCCAGTCTAAAGATAAATTTCATTATCATCTACTTTTGTTGATATGTTTAGGACGTTTACTTTTGTTTTTTTTTCTTCGATGGTATCAGGTCTGCCTTAACGCTAGCTAAATTTAAAGACAAACATCCATATTATCCACTTTTGACTCACCCTACATCTGAGGAAAACTTGTCCAGTATTTTGTCCTTTCAACTACCACAGTCCGCCTCACTTGAGTCACTGTGGCTATTTTTACTTTAGCCTTTGAAAAAAAATGTTTATTTCCTGGTTTATGGCTCAGTGAAGCTCTTTGTACGCTACAGCTACATGATTTACAGACGCTTAAGGAGGAATTATTTCCTCTCTTTTTTTGATAACACTCAAGGCCAACCAAATATTTTGTTGCTTTTCGTCTTCAACAGTAGAGACGATTGGACTGCCTTCAGGTGTGGAAATCTCTGATAAATACTGCAGCACAGTAGAGACATTCAACAGTGACTGGTGGCAGGTCATTTAAGAAGCTCTTTTGACAGTCAAGAGGAAGGTAGTTCAAACGCTACCTCATATACTTTATATAAAAGGAGAGCTGCAAGGAGCCTTACCTCCATTGTGACATTAGTAGAGGCGTTTTTTCGTGTGCCAAAAGACATGCTTTCACACGGATCGCCGCACAGCATGAAAAATGCCAAGTTTTTCAGGCTTGTCAAGTTGAATTCCCGAAAGCTACTTTCTTTTTCATTTTACAGTTACTTCATAACATAAATTTCTGGAATTCTATTGCGTTTCTGTGGGATGACAAGGCTTTGTTGGCTTTTTCTGATGTGTTGCGAGGCACTCAAGAAAGACAACTTGTATACCTCAGTTTCGCTCCTTAAGTCTTCTCTGAATGCGCAATAAGTTACACAGGTGTGGTTAAGACTGAGGTGCGTCGTCATGTCGCGTAGAACCCTTTCATACTTCCACGTAAGCATTTTTTTTCATTTCCCCTCCTTCTCCCTCCTCCCCCCCTCTTCTCCTACCTGTTTAATCACGTAGGCCTCCAATTCATGCTGCTTTCACTCACCATCATGATGGCATTTGACAGTAATATTCCTGTCTTCCCTGACCTTGCCGAGAATCTACACTGATGTGACTAAGAGAGAGGTATAACCCACGACATACCATCAGCCTGGTACATAGCCCCCTTCTCCACCTTCCTTCCATCCTTTTGAGCGTTCCCTCCAGCCCTATCCTCTCCCCTCCCTTCCTCCCTCTCAACCCAAACCCCTTGCTCATTCTTCAACTTGAGGACGTGAAAAATGCCGGTGAGTCATTCAGTCAATTTCATGGGTTTCGAGTGGTCGAATCCTCTATGGAAACCGCATTGGGGAGTAAGGAAGGATGATTCGCAGACTCCGTACTGCTCAAGTCTAAGCGGTGCTCTACAACGCATTCATTGTACACATTTGATGCAACTCCATCCATTCGGGAGCACTTGCTGGGAAGTAGAATCGTCTGATCAGAGACACCTTGAAGCGCCTTCATGGAGCTAATACTAAGCATCATTCTGAGGAGCTTTTAAACTTCGTTCTTTCTTCTCATCGCACTGCTGTCCAGGCGTCTACGTGAATGGTGTTGAGGTAGTGGCGACTTGGCATGAGGAGGTGAGGTATCGTTCGTTCATCTACATGATAAGCTTTGCGGTGAGTAGAGTAGGCAACTCCGTATTGAAGGCTTTTAAGACATCAAAGTCTAGTGTTACTTCATTTGTCCATCATCAAATGCAGATGTCATTTAACCGTTTCTGTTTTGAGTCTCCACACTTCAAGTTTCGTTGTAGTGCGTTAGGGAAATCCTCAATTTTATGTCCTACTACTACGCCGCCAGACCAACCTACACAATCTGTGGATTTTAAAGTTGTTTTTTAGGTTTATATGCTTGTCAAAACTGTCAGATAAACCCATTTTTTGGTGCAGAAGATGCGCAAGTTGATGCCTGATCTTGAAGGAATTAAAAGCCCATGTGCCACGTGGCATGAGATGTAGGAATGTGAAAAGCTTTTGCAACAAAATTTTTATTTACTTTTAGTAAGAAATGCATAAAGTTTTGGCCTTTATGGGCTAAAAATTGGTTTATGTAAGAGAAAAAAGTACATTTGCTGGTAATTTGATACAGCTAATCATAAATGCTGATTGGGAGTGGCGTGAGGGACCAGTAAGCAGACCACCGGTATCCCCCGGTGTGGAAGCCAAATGGCAAGCGATCAAACAGAACTGCAACCAAGTCAGACATCCATCTGTTATGCACCCTTGTCATTCTTTTTACATCGCTCCTCCCTTCCCCTCCCCTGCCTCCCTCCTCCCCGCAGCACCACTAGAGTGACTTGGCACCACACGGTAGATGCACATCACGTAGTAGATTTTGTGAGGTTTTCTTGGCTTACTGAGCCACACGCGCTTGAAGCTTTCAAGCCTTCTTCCACTGCCTATTAATTTGGTATCCGAGGTACCTATGATGATCTAAAGCAAAAGACGTACAGACAAACTGGGAGGTCGTTGACATGAGTGAGCCTAGAAAGGCTCCATGTCACCACCGCAAAGGCAGAATCGCATCCGGTGTGCGTGGCAACTGTCAACTTAGAGGAAGCCTTAAATTTACCACTTTAGGAGGAGAAAAAAGAGAAATGCCACATCCATTGATCATATTTATTCCCTTTTTCCCCTTTATTAGTTCCAACCTGAGGGTCACACTCACGGCGGTGGTGAAATTACTCCAGGCTACGCGCTGTTTATCGGTGTAGCCGGTATCCTCATTCTCCTCGTATCGACAGTACTTCTCATGGTTGATAAACGCGCGGATGAAATAATCTACCGTGAAAAAATTACTCAGTGATAGCAGCGTTGTGCTATGTTTTCCTCCTCCTCCTCCTGGCGTCCCCTTCCCCTGTTGAGGAGTTCTATCGCATTTTAAAGCAAACATGAACTATCTCTTGTTATGAACAATTCAATCTCTACATAATGTTATCTCTATCCCTCTCCCCTTGTCTCTCCATCTATCCCAAAGATTTTGAAAGCGAGTGAAAATGGGGGATTTTTGACCTTATGTAGTTGTTCCATCAGTTTAATAAACGGAAATAACCCGTCTTTATTTAATATCAAGAGATACCAGATAAACTTTTATTTTTATTAAACTTTTCGAAAATATTTATTTGATTTGTACAAACACCGTTCGTGTAAATTTGTTCACATCAATGGGGGACTGTTGATAGTACACTATTGTCCACCTCTAGACTGATCCACGCCTTTGACTAGTACCTTCAAAGTTTTGACTGGGCCTAGAGCAGCAAACTACACTTAGGCGATGGTGCTGAATGCCTCTACCGCTTCCACTTCCAAAGGAGAAACACGTGCCCAGGCTCCTCCAAATACAGGGGTGTGGTTTAGAAACCTCTGTCCTTCTTAAATATGTCGGTCCATCAGTTCATTGCTGTGTCAAACGTACGCTGGCTAGTAGGAAATTTGCATTCAACGACCTCTTGGTGGGATTTCGCAATAGGCATCCAGGAACCGAATTTTTACACTTCAACTGAATTGTCATAAGACATATTGCTTCGGTGGAAGGCTTTTAGCTAACGTAATCAGGATTGTTACTGATTGCCGTATAGATGCTCTTAAAATGTCTACTGACACTGCTAAGGGGACAAACTTTCCACACTCTTGATATGCTCCGCTTTAAAATGTATGTCCGTAGATAGAAGTAGATATCCGTCGGTGTAGAGATCTTCACTTTGTCATCCCCTACAATTTCAGGGATTACTGCTACCTGGCACTTCGAATAGTGATGGGAACGAACAGCACTGGCCCGTGATAGGTGCAGTCCTGTTCAGTAGTAGCTGGTAGCACAATATGACTGCACCGCTACGGTGGGATTTAATTTTGGTGTGTGTAAATTAGGAAGTTCCGATTGGACTTAGGCGTTCTACTCAGGAATAAAAACCACAAAAATAGCTAAAATTTGGACTTATATATACCGGTAGAGAAGGATAAGAATTCAGAAGGTGACGGACCTTTTAAACTCGAGGCTTAATCGTCGAATTTCCTTCCATTTACCATCACTTTAAATTTCCTTTTACTCACTTTCACTGCTCTCTGTAGCACACCGCGTCTTTCCTAAAGGTGGACTAAGTCATAAAACTAGGGAAAAAACTATTGCCGACGTACGGAGAGGCTGGGTTGGGGCTACCAGCATGGCCCAGAGGCTGTGCCACCCAGCTGAAGTACACAAGCGGAGCCATAAATGCCC